AGTACAAAATGAGCTGAGTGGAAAATACTGGACAGGACCGTCGAAGTGTTAGTATGGAAAAAGCTGGGTGGAAAGTACTGGACAGGACCAGCAAAGTGTTAGTATGGAACGACTTGAACGGAAAATACTGGACAGGACCGGCGAAGTGCTAGTACAAAACGAGCTGAGTGGAAAATACTAGACAGGACCGTCGAAGAGTTGGTATAGGATGAGCTAAGAGGAGAATAATGGAGATGAGGTTAGATTACGTTTGAAGTTAAGCATAAAGCTACACAATGGGCTATTAGTGCTCTGCCAACTACGGGTATCAAAACCCGGTTTCTAGCGTTGTAAGTCCGCAGACATACGCTGTGCCACTGGGGGGCAAATAGTGGAGAGGTTTGAGCAGTCGTGCACCACTGTTTTCCAGATTTGAAGTTCACGTTTTTTTTTTTTTTATTGTCAAGTCAATATTAAGCGCCCTTGAGATGATTACGTCAGTATAAGGAGTCTTCAGGAGAAATAACTGTTCTAATGGAAAATAATAAATCATTATCATGGTTAGAAGCCTGTCTTTTCTACATATACTGGTTTTAAGGCTCTAAAAGAAAGAAGTTTTAAAAGGCATTATAAATTCCTACTTGAGGACTCCTAGTACTAATAACAAGTGTAATTTCTTCGGAAAATGTCATGTGTTGCAAAGCTGCAACACAGAAATTGTTGGACCTTGCCCTTTTCCGGATAGTAGCTATTTTTCCAATATCACAGGACAAACACACTTGTTTTATCATCTCGTCGATAAGAAAACAAAATCACTAAATGCACTACCTTAGTTGGTGGATTTAATCCCTTAACTGATCAACACGATTAACCATGGCTGACGTAAGCAGTAACTCTGATGTCATCACTGTTTAAGAGCAAGCCATTTATTCTTTTCGCTGGGAAAGTGATCAAATTAGAATATTTCTATGTTAAATCACTAAAAATGTCACATTCTTGTTTTAAGTGCTCTTATTTTTCGCGTAAATGGTGTTTTTGGATATAATTTTGTTGCATGTAAAGTTTTTGGTTTATATGATTTGATATTCGATTCAAAAGCAATTAACACTACTCAGAAACGTATAAGTAGCATTATCACAAGATTATCTTTCGTTTTCTTTAAAATCACTAAAACATTTTAAAAGTAAAATTACGAAAACATAAACAGACTACAAACAATTTTGTCTCCTCCCCCATTGGAGGACCATATAAGTATTTTCTTTCTTTTTTTACACCCTAGTATTACATCACGTTAATTAAAAAGACAGAGCACTGGTGAATTTTTACATCATACTATCTTAAGATTCCAGTTTCAAGGTCGTTAATCCATTGTTGTGACATCTCTGATAATACTTAGTTCACAGTACTGACTGTAGTCATGTCAATATATAGTTCAATATAGTGAAATTTTTTATGTCAACATATAGATCAATGTAAAGACATTTTTCATGTTAACATAGTTCAGTGTAGTGACACTTGTCACGTCAACATATAGTTCAAAAAATTGACACTCGTCACGTCAATATATACTATAATATTGTGACACATGCCACTTCAAGTTCAAAGTAGTAAAACTTCTAATGCTAACATATAGACCAATATCGTGACACTTGACGTATCAACGTACAAGTTCAAAGTAGTGACACTTCTCATATTAGCATATAGTTCACAATATGGACACTTTTCATAGTACCACACAGTTCAAAGTAATGACAACCGTCACGTTAAGATATAGTTCAAAGTAGTGACACTTGTAATTATACCATATAGTTCATATGATTGCCTCTTGTCATGCTAATATACAGTTCAACATAGAGAAACCTGTCACGATTACATATAGTTCAACATAGTGATATATCTTATGATATCATATTGTTTACGGTACTTAATTTCTTTATGTTCACATTAATTATAAGTAGTTATTTTTGTCATATTTGCGAATACTTTGTGTTAACATGACAAGTATCACTACATTGAACTATATATTAACATGACAAGTGTCACTCTGGTGATAGTTCATAGTACTGACACTTGTCATATCAACATATGGTTCACTGTAGTGACAACTCTGATGTCAACACAAGAGTTAAATGTAGCGACACTTGTCATATCAGCATATAGTTTAATATAAAGATACTTATCATGTCAACATAAAGTTCACAGTATGGACTCTTGCCATGTTAGCACATAATTCACAGTACTGACTCTTCTCATGTTAACATATAGTTCAATCTAGTGATACTTGTCATGCTGAGATATAGTTAAAGGTTGTGACTTGTCATGTCATAACTACAGACTTGGCCAAAATACTTGCATATTTTGTGACAAATAAGATCATTATCATTAAGAAGAAATACAAATACATTTAGGTCTGTCAAACTGAGAAATCCATCTTACATTAAACATTAAATATGTAATATGTATAATGAGACATGTTCTATGGATATCAAGAACGACTTATTAGAACAGCAAACAATGTTATCAGACACCCGCCGAAAGATGTGTAATTCAGCATTTCACCTATCACAACAAACCCTTAACAAAATATATATAATGACAAATTATAACATCAAATTATTATAAATATCATCTGTAACCTTATATAAGTCCATATGAAACACTCTGTACTTGGTTGAACCTCCTCGTAATCTAATAACCTCCACAAGGCGACGTGGCATGCTGTCGATGAGGTTCTTGATGTAATCCACCGTGATTGCATTCCAGCTTGTCACTAAAAGACGCTGCAACTTAGCTACAGTAGCTGATTTAGGTAGAGTCGTGGTTAGTAATTTTCCGGCTCAGTTCTGTCCAACAATTATTAATGGGATTACAATCTGGAGACTTTGCTGGCCATGGCAATCTTGTAATGTTTTCCTGGTCGAGATAATCATATACAATACGCTCACTGTGGACAGTGGCATTGCCATCCGGGAACACAAATTATTGCCAAGCCTTGCCCTAGCACATGGCAGAAATATCGTATCCATGTGATCCCTGTAGGAGGCGCCATTGACGTTTCCCTGGAGGATATGAAAAGCAGGTTTTCCACCATCATGAATAGCTGCCCAAATATGTACTGCAACACCTCCTGTATGATCCCCGTGTGAAAGACAGTTTTTCCTTTATCTGCTCTCCAGGCAAATGACGAACACGAATCTTGCCATCAGCTTTAACAATCTGGAAACAGGACTTATCTGGTGTCCTAACTGTAAGTTGGCAGGTTTTCTTGCCCGTGTAACACGGTGACGGTGGAGAACTCTGGTTAATATCGAATTGCAGATAGCCCTTCTTGCAAAATAACCTTGTTTGGTCAATCTCCTATTAACTTTTCTTCTGCTATTTCTGCCAGTAGTCTTTCGGCGTCTACCACTAGACTTTTCTGGAACAACTTTTTCTGTGGTCTGACGACGTTTAAGGATTCTGGATACAGTACACTAGGGTTGCCCTACTGTTCTGGCAATGCCCGTTTTCTTCTTACCATTCCTGGACAGTCGAACAATTTGACGTCCTATAACTTCTAACACGTGACGAGGCATGATTCTACATCAACCCAGAGAAATTGGCTGAACAAAGTTTTGACCTGTTTCGAAAAAGATTATACCAAAAGCACACCCTTTTATACAGAACAGGTGGGTATATGTGTTTTGACGAACAAATGCTCAAAACAACTTATACAGACCAGAATAATGACTCGCACATAATTGTCCGATCATACGCTACCTTCTCTGTTACTACTCAAGCATTTACTCAAAAACTACTCCATGCATGTATACAATAACATCAATATAGAACAGTATGCAAACATTCCAAGGATTATTAAAACAAATATTTTTGAATTCTTCATTAATCGCGAGTTTCGTCTAGGTTGTTTCGTTAGAATCATTATTCGGCGTCCAACTGTGGGCCAAATTATACCTAAAAACAAGTGAACCAAACTAACACAGAAAAATATATTATTTTCGTAATACAAGCTCACCGAAGATATCCTACGACTTTGAGCCAAATAAGAACAGAAATAATAACTGACTGTCATCAGTTTTAATCGACATGAACCGGCTACAGTTTGTATGTAACTGATGAAGTGCATCTTTTGGACTGAAAATGACACTAATATGTTGTTCATGCTCAACATAAGTTTTACAGATGCGTTGTGATACCACGCTGTTAATACTCGATATCAATATTTATTATTTCGTGTGATATCATCTCGTTCATGCTCGTCAGCAATGTTTATAATGGCGAGTGATATCATGCTACTTATAGCTAGTTTAGTTAAACCATTTTCCGTGCCCAAGGTACATAAGACTCATGTTTTCGAATTCTGGTTCCAATGGCACAAACGGATGAGAGTGGTGACCCTACCCCTGGATGGAATGACAGTCAACCGCAGGTTAATCCCCAGCTAAAAGCTGGATACCCATCATACAGCTGGATAGATTAGAACAAGTGGGTTTTACTCAAGGACTCAACATCTGCATGACGCGAGCCAGCCTCTAACTCGCAATCATCCGATTAGGAGTCAAAAGCGCGAAGCAACTGAGCCATGCTCAACAGTCAACAATATATTGTTTATGACATCGTGCTTTATTATGTTCGTCTTTCCTTGCAATGATATGTTTTTAATATCTCCTTTTTTACCCGTTCATTGATCCATCACTTACCGTCAGAGGTATTTTTAAGGCAAGCAAAACAGCGTAGTGATAAGTAAAAAAAAATCAGTTAGAGATCCAGCCAATTGTGAGAAGGCTATTTGCCTAATGTACAACATTTACCTTGTCACCTGACAATTACAGTATATTGAACTATTTCAAAAGGGCAGAAACATGATTTTCTGTGAAGTTGATTGTTACACAGTAATTCATTTTTACAACGATATATTTACAACTCTCGTTGTTACATTCTTTTATTACTTGAATTGTAAATGACTGAACAAGCAGCTTTCAACGTCTCAGTATTAATTTTTAATATTTAAATCAACTTACCGCTTCATTGTCGACGAGATTTGTTGCTAGAAGAAGAATAAAAAAACAGTAAATCAGTAAATTGATTATATATATATATATATAAATAAATAGAATAAACAGAAATGATTAAATTAATCATAATAGGATCATTAATAGGAGAATTGTTAACATATAACAATGAATAGTGGTAAAGTCATTTTGTTATCAGTTATGAAAACATCTCCTTAATTCAAAATACACAGAAATAAACAAGACGAAATACTTCGTTAGTTTGTTTTAGAGTAAAGTCACATTGGGCTATCTGCTGTGTCCAACACGGGAAATTGAACTCCGGATTTTAGAGTTGTAAGGTCTGTAAACTTACCGCTGTACCACCGGGAGACAAGACCAAATAAACATCTGGCGAATAACAAATTACATCTTTTGTCAAACGTAAAATAGTTCCTAAGTTTCTGAAAATGGTATTAAATGTTAATGAATGGAATGATTATAAGAGATTTTATACAGTTTAATAGCTAACCCCAACCAATTGTGAATACAATTACAGATAACGTTTAACACAAAATCTCAAACCTCTTCCATCAGACGAACAGGATTGTCCTATTGTTTCTTGTGTGCTCTTTGTACCATTCATCTCTGGAGCCATACACAAAGTTTTTGGAGAAAACTGACAAAAAACTCAACTTCAGTCACGCCGTTAAACACGCCATGAAATTTGAGCATACATTATTCTACATTCTGTCCAACAATTACATAAAGTACCAGATGTTTTTTTTTATAAAATACATTGTGAGGAATGTTCAGAATTCCATTTTGAGAAATCAGGGAAAAAAATAAACACAAGAGTAAAACAACACCTTCGTTAGCCTTCTTACATCAAATGCAAAAACTTAGCATAAAGTTGACGTGTTCACAGCTGTAATCTATAAATGAAATTAAAGAAGCGTTAGTTATAAAACAGCAACATTCGGCATCAACAAGAATTCAGGTGTCCTGCTGCACTTGTTCTACATCACGTGACTAAGGCTGACTGAGGGCATGAACGTAAAGATTTCTTCCAGTCTTGATCATATCTGGGTTAACATCACAAGAAGTGTTGACCAGGTTTATGTATTTCTTTCTGTAGTTCTATTTTATGCAATAACAGTTTGTTTTGTTTTTGTTTTAAATAATACCTATAGAATGATCCTGATACAATGTAAACACGGTTGGACAAACACACTCATCAAGAGGACTTGTTCATATTTTTTGTATTATATTTCAGGATCTACTTAAGCAAACACGCGATTTCATTAACAGTTATATTACAGGAAAATTGTAGACTAATATTTAAAATTCTATTTGTTCGTAACGTACAGTGGTTGAGTCCGTTATATTAAAACTCTTTTGGCGCCTCACCACCCGTTCCAGTCCATGTTTCTACTTCCGGTATGCTTTATTTGATGTTCGCGCATCTTGACAACAGACATGCAGCGTAGTTTCCACTGCAAAAGGCTGGCATGTCCAACCAACAACACTCCTCCCTACATGTTTCAATAATCCATCTAGTTTACGAGGATGACCATTCTCCAGCTTCTGTTTAAACAGACCGAGCGCACAGAAATTCATAGGTGATTATACTATTTTTCGTATAGAATAGTATCAATACCCGAATCATTCTTCTGCTGCTTGAGGTATACGACGATTGAATGAGAGGTATAACTGGAAGTCTTATCTTGGTGAACCCATACCCTGTTGATCTCGTTTCCACACGGAGATCCTTCTTGATTATGTTGCGTACCATTGCTTGGGATACGTGGACCACTTATACCTTTTACCTTAGTATTCGTGGACACTTTCCTGTTACAAGACGCCACACTTTGCTTACCACGACTGGGTTACGACTTGTTGCAAGTCTCTTTCTAGGTGGGCCAGAATCGTAAAGTTGATCCATATTCCTTTGTTTTCCAACGCCATGAAGTACAAGGTATATCCCCATCTAGAACACATTGTTATGATTTGTTTGAATTTATGCACAAAGCTACACAATGGGCTATCTGTGCTCTGCCCACCACGGGTATCGAAACC